ATTGATATCTTTCTCAATTTCTTCTTCCTTATTGATAACCTCTTCCACCTCTAATCCGTCTTCCTCTTCTCCATATAACACTCTTGGATCATCAAAACTTTTCTCATCTTTTAAAGGAATGACACTTGTGCTATGTCATAGGCTCTCTTCATACTGTAGGTTGTCTTGAGCTTACATTATATTTATTGTTTAAACAAGTTGTGTTATTTGTTGCACCAAGATTTTGAGGCTAGCTTGCATTGTTTCCTGGAAATTTTGGGTAGAAGTGGCAATGCTCTTCACAATCTCCTCTAAGGAAATGCTTGGTGTTTCAGGTTATTGAGGAGGTGGAGGATACGGATGTTGGAATTTTGGAGTTAGTTGGTAATGGTCACTTCTCCAAGCTTGGCATGGGCTTTGGTATTGGTTGTATCCCCAAGCTTGGTTGTTGTACCACCATTGATCATGCTAAGGTTGATCATAACTCCAATGGTTTAACTAGTAGTAGCTTCCCTTCTCTTGCACTTCTTCCCATCTTCTTTGTAAATATGGACACATGTCAGAATGATGTCCGTTTTGGGTGCAAAAATCACAAATAAGAGGCATGGGTTGCACACTTTGGTAAATTTCAATCATCATAACTAACTAAGCAAGCTCAGAAAGTTTATTTTCAATGCAAGGAGTGTTCATTCCCGAACCATACTTTTTTTCTTCAATTTTTGAGTTTTAAACTAGAGTACCTGCACAATGAGATCTAGGCATAGAGAAACAAACTGATTAAACCAAAACCAGTCCCCGGCAACGGTGCCAAAAATTTGGTGGTTTTCGAGGCCAACAAAATTAATAACCCTAAATCTTTTACACTAAAATAGTGTATAGTGCTAAAGGGGTCGAATCCACTGAGACTAGCTCAATTTGTTACTCAATGAAAATCTCTTTGTAAAAATACTTGTTAAATAACAATAAAAATAAAAATAGGGGTTTAGTCTTTTGAAATACTTGAAATAAACTAAAACTAAACTAAGATTTAAATAGACAATTTCAATAAAAAACAAGAGTTTGATGTAAAATCAATAAAGGAAAGATGGTTGACTTATAGTTTCCTCACTTTGACTTTTGATGAACATATCATTAGAATCCAATGGTTCAATACTTGTTTAAAATCCTTAATTTGTCTATAGTTGTCCAAGAAGCTTGAGATTACCTAGACTTTTCTTAGTTGTTAAGTGGTTAGAGAAGCTCATAACAATTTCCTTAGTCAAAGTCACAATTTCCATTATGCATGTAATTAGTGAAAGTCAACTAGCATTAAGAACCAAAAAGTCACCAAATCCAAGAGGAGTCAAAAGCTTCCACTACCATGTTGGAGAAAATGGTTTTATGATTGTGTGAAGTAAACTAACAAAAAAATCACTTGTTGCTTGCTAATTTGAAGATCCTTTACATAATCAAGAAATTAGCCAACCAATCACCACAAACACATATAAACTCATGAATAAAAACAAACAAGTAGTGATAAGATGTTAAAACACAAAACATTTTCATAAAGATTCAAACACAAGTTCATGGATTCTTCAACATTCAACAAAAGTTCAAAGGATTCAACAAAAGTCAACCAAGTTTTGTTTAGCCAAGCATGACTAAACTCAAAGAAACAAAGCTAATAAAGATTGTACCAAACATTTTACAAGATTCAAGGAGGTGAAAATGATGAAGTTCTTGAGGGTTCTTGGCCTTAAAAGTGCTCAAAAACTCTAGAGAGAATGTCTCTAAATCAGATCTTCAAGATAAGGCTAAAGAGGCACACCAACCTTACCAATATAAAGCTCAAAATAAAATCCCTAATTTGCCCCTGCATGGAAATCTTACGCAGACCGCGTGAGTATGATAGAGTTTTGGGCTACTTCAAGTTTTGGTCCCTTACAACTATTGCATTGGCCCAGTTCGGGTCTAATCAACTTTCAGCCCATTTTCTTCAAGATTTCATCAATTTGAGCCCAAATTGCCTCTCCAAATCACTCAAAGCTTCCGCAAACTCTATAAATTTCTTGTTGTTAACAGAACAAACACTATACATGAAAAAAATGACATTTTTTTTATTAGAAAACATACTTGTGTAACAAAAAATATCATAAAATCTTCGATTGTTAACTTTTGAAGTGTGTTTTGTCCTAAAGTGCTAAACAATCTTTACAAGTAATCGATGAGGCATAATTGAAATGATAATCATTTAAATTAAAATGAGTTTCTATAAACAGTAATACTTAAGGGGCAATAATGAATAATACTCTTTTTGTAGGGAATTAATAACCATAAGTTTTAATATATATTTATTATTTGTATAATTTAATAAAAACCAAAAAATAAGACAAAATAAAAATATTTTATAGCAATTACCAATTATGAGAAGAATTACGTATCAAAACAACCATAGAAATGATATATGAATATCAAATAGTCATGAAACTATTGCTTCTCTCATGGTGATCCTAAACATCAAGTGAACCTTACTGACTTATTTGTTTTATAGGGAAGCAGATGGAAATGAACTGAAGATGAGAATGAAAGCTTTATTTTTGCATCGCGCATGAAACTATTGCATGATAAATTTTTGATTCGCAATCTAGACATTACTTATTGGGATAGAATCTTGCCTAGTAAAGTGAAAATCTTTCTTAGAGATCTCCTGTTGATAGATTGCCTACTCAATTTAATCATGAGAAAATCAGGTTATTTCTCGATTCCATTTCATGTGTGCTTTGCAGCTCCATGATTGAGACTTCTGGATTATTCTATCACTAGGGGGTTCGTGTTATCATCAATAGCCGGTGGAATTAGGTTCATACATCAAGCAAATCTCTTTTTGATATGTTCAGGTTTGCTTCCAAAGTGTAATATTGAGGCTATCTCGGCTGCGTTCGCTACTTTCATTTGGACTGTTTGGAGATACTGATGTGATAATGTTTCAATGGCAAGATTAAAAACTATCACATGTTGGCTAGTGAGGTGAAGACATTAGTGATTATTTAGATGAAAAATAGACATTTTGCTTAATTAATCTGATTGGTGTAATAGCCTTCACATGTATGTCTCAAGCCGACCTAATTCTAACTACCGGATAACCACGCCGGTCCAATGAAATTCCATGCCCCGGGCAAATAGAGAAAACAATGCCCTATTTTTATACTATGTTAATACAATTCGAAAATTTTATAACATAATCTTCTAAAGCAGCTACTTAAAACAGCTTTTTGTTAGATTACTTAATCGTACAGAGTACAAATTAAATATTACAAAGGAATTCTTGAAGCAAAAACATTAATTATCCTATAATAATAGTAAAATTTGCATTCTGTTCATCATAACCCAAAACCTGAAATTAGAAATCATTAATGAGAGTTAAAAAGTTTCATTTATTGCATCAATATATTATCTATATAATTTATACTTCCATAAGCAATATGATATTTAATATATATATATATATATATATATATATATATATATATATATATATATATATATATATAAAGATTCAATATCTTTTAACAATTTTTAATGACAAATGAGAACATAACTAAATAAATAAAGATGAAGTTTTCTATAAACTAAAGAAAAAAAAACATTGATGTGGAATCGGAAATAAAACAATAAATTTCAACAACACATATGAAAAAATGAAAAGTTAAATAACCATATCAAAAAATGATAACCTGGCGTAGTTTCCTATAAAACAAAACTAGCAAAACAACAAAAAAATATTATAAAAAACAATAAGTCTCGCCTAAAACTGCTAAATCAAGAAGAAGAAGAAAAAAAGGCCTAATGGCGTACTGCAAGTGTCCTAAACGCAGGAAGGGTTCTAGAAATCAATATCAATATTCACAAAAAAAAAATCCTGAAATCAGAATCAATAATCATTGTTAACAAAATCCCAAAAATCAGATTTGAGAACTAACGAAATTATGGAGATTAACAGAAATCAAAATCAATTTAGAACCAATATTATCAATACTTGATCAAAATTAGTGTGAAACTTATGTTAACAATACTACAATACTAAAAAAAACTAATATTAACAATACTTAATGAAAACAGCTCAAGTCAACTGATGCTGTCTAATACTACTTCATGCGCATTAGACTTTCAGTTAACCAGAAAACTAGTAATATCAAATTCGAAATCATAAATCAGAAGAAGAACTAGGCTTTCTCGATAGTGTAAAGCTATAAAGGGACTAAGGGAGAAGATGAACTAAAAAACTGAAATAAGAAAACAGAGCTACCGTTGATATTTAATATTGATCCAGGTCTCCTTGTCTTCTCTGATTCTCTTGACTCTTGGAATTAGGCGTGTTGGGTGCATTCACCAAGAAAATTAAGGCGTGCTTATTTTTTTTCCCCGCTCGGCTTCTGCCTTCTCAAACCTCATATCGTGCCCTTGTCAGTAAATAAATGTCTTGGGCCTAAATGTAATGCATACCCAAAAGAAGAAAGCAAAACTGATGCCCCTATGTCCATTGATGCCCAGGGCAGTGGCTCAGCTCGCCCTACCCTTGGGCCGGCCCTACGGATAACTTCTTTTCAATAAATTATGTACCTTTCTAGGGTTCTTATTATCACCGACTGTTACTTGTTAAACTGTAGTTGCTTGCTAGTTATTTGTGAGTTTTTGGCCTTACTAGTTACTAACTTGGCAAACTGAAGTCGATTTCTAGTTAATAAACTTGAAATTTTGGCTAAAATCTTCCAAGAAATGGATAAAATTGGTGGTCAATTGCTGTTCTTTTGTTTACTGTAAGGATATAGATTCCCTTGTACCTCATAAACAATGGTTATTTATAACTCTTATTCTTTCATTTCTATCACATTCTTCTAATAATACAATGTAATCTACTGTTTAATAGAATCTTTTTGATTTGTATTTAGTTAAATCTTTTATCCGGACAAAATTATCCTTGAAAAGGGCTTATTAATGATCAACATTTTTGGTAATACATGATATATTTGCCTGTATTCTTAATGTTCTTGTTTGTTTTCCTTGATTCAGGCCACAATCTTGTTGAACTAGAGGTGAAGAACGCATGGCTTTCTGTTGAAAATCTGAATCAGATGTTAATGGTAACAAGTTTAACACTCGAGTGCATACGATTAGATGATAAGGAATTAATCCAGTTGAATAAGTCCTTCCCTAATCTTCAAGTTCTTAACTTGATAGATGTTAGAGGACTGAAACTACCCACAATCCATCTTCTCCACCTAAAAACGTGTCACTGGACTATAACAGATGCTCCACCATTTGTAACTGTAATCGCACCTAACCTTATCACACTCACAATCGAGGGTAAAAAGCCTGCTGCAGTTCATGTTGATGCTCCATTGTTAACTCACTTCCATCTTGCCCTTCCTCATGCGGACTCACTTTTAGTCGAAAAGTTTGAGAATCTGAAAACATTATGTATCGAGGCTTCATTCCTCTACCCCTTACTTTTTAGCTTTCGATTTACTAAAATCGTGGAAAATCTAACTTTGGATTCACAAGGTTTGACTAAAGGGCCTTTTGAAAGATTCAAAATTTCCCTCGAGAATTTGTTCAAGATTTTCCCCAACATGACTTCTTTATGTTTTCGGTCAAGGGCATGGTCGGAGTTTGAGGTGAGGGGTATGTTTGGGGTTGGGATGCAAGAATTGAGAACTTTTTGTGGGTATCTGATGATAGTTGACCTTTCGTTGACTTTATCCTTGGTTGCTTGTGTGTTGGACCAATGCTATGGCTTGCTAGATGTCTCTTTGCTTATCCATCAAAACGTTGATTCTTATGTATCGAAGGGTTTTATGTGCACATGCATGATGAGGTGGCCTAAACTAAATTGGAGATGGGGAACATTGGAGGAAGGAAAGGAAGATTGTTGGATAAGTTATGAAGATTTAATGCAAATGTCATCTTACATGAAGCCGAGTTTTGATATATAAAGAAACAAAGAAGTTGAGAAGATGTGTAGAAAGCTATGTAAAGCTTTTATGATGGTTTCATCCTTTTGGAATGTTGTTGCTTGTTATGGTAATATGTTCATCTTAATAGAGGGTTTAAATACAAACATATGTGGATGCTTATGCGTATGCGCATAATATATGTTTAATGAGATGATATTGTATGCGCATAATATATGTTGAACGAGATGATATTGTTATCTTTGTCTATATGCTTTTCTATATATAGTCTTTTTGCGTTGCATTTGTTGTTTATTAGCAAAATTGTGTTTCTTTTTTGTTTCGTTGTTGATGTTATAGAAAGGACATGAGGAAGAGTCGATGGGAATACCTTTATAGGACCCAAATGGATAGGCTTCGTCGGCTTTGAAGAGATACTTCAAGAGTAGGATAGTTTAAATGTTTCCTTATTTTTAGTTTTTCTTTTATTTAATTAGTTTTGAATTTGATGTAGGATTCCTTTTATTTAGTAATTGGTATCTAATTAGGTTTGTAGAACATTATAAATATTGCTCCTTACGGTTGTTACTCCATGTTCCTCCGAACTCTACAGGTGATGTGTGTCAAAAGTACTCCACTATGGTGCCTAGCGGATTACTACAGCTCCTATATTTACCAAACATAGTTTGGTCAGAGATAACTACAGATTTCATTGAAGAATTACCTAAGTCGAAAGGGTTTACAATTATTTTTGTTATCGTTGACCGTTTAAGTATGCCCATTTTATTCCGCTAAAACATCCGTATTTTGCTTTGTCGGTCGCTACTATTTTCCTTCGGAAGGTTGTCCGACTGCATGGAATTCTGGAATCTATCGTGTCTGACCTGTGACAAAGTTTTTTTTAGTTTGTTTTGGCGGGAACTATATCGTTTTCAGGGAACTCAACTAAAGCACATTACAATGTATCACCCGCAAACAGTTGGTCAAACAAAGGTGGTAAATCGTTGCATAGAAACTTACATTTGTTGTTTTGTTTCTGATACACCAAAGTAATGGGTTCGTTGATTGTTATGGGCAAAATATTGGTATAATATGACTTTTCATACTTCCATCCGCACTACACCATTTCGAGTTTTGTATAGTTGAGATCCGCCCTACTTGTTGCATTATCAGTAAGTACTATTGATCAATATCTACAAGAGAGGGATTGAGTTTTGATGGAATTGCGAGGTGATTTGTCGGTCGTATCCATCGATGTGGGTGAGTTTGTAGGTCAGTGGGGTGCAGTGGCGGCTGTGGAGAATAGTCCTAACAAACGTGTCGTGTCGTGTTGGGTTCGTGTCGTGTCAAGACATTAAACGGGTTGAAAAGGTTTGATCCTAACCCGACCCGTTTAATCATCTTGTCGTGTCATTCAACCCGTTTATTTTCGTGTCGGGTTTCGAGTTAAGGTCTAGACCTTGTAAATATGTTGGGTCATGTCTGCTTGAGACATTTTAAAGGTTGGAAAGTAGGAGTTATGGATGCAAAACTGAAAAAGTGAAACATTGGAGTTAGGAGATGGATTCAAAATTTTTTTAGTAAGTTTAGAAGACAAAATGAAAAGAGTTGAAGTTGAAGAGCAATAGGGATAAGTGGTGAGGATGAATAAAATTAAGTAACTTTGAAAATTTAAATATTATTTCTAATTCTTGAGTTTGACCCACTACAAGTCTATAATATATAATATATTTATAAATATATGAAATTTATAATAAATAATATATAATTAAACGGGTTATATTCGAGTCATCTTCGAGTTGAAAGTCTTGACCCTAACCCTACCCGTTTAATTATCGTGTCGTGTTGTGTCAACCCATTTACATAAACATGTCAAAATCTCTGACCCTAACCCGCTAATTTCGTGTCGGGTCGTGTTGTGTCATGTTTTGCTAGGTCTAGTAGAGAAGGATGGTCGTGTTGGTGGTTGTCAGGAAGGATGGCAACTCGGTGGCAGAAGAAACTGTCATATTTACTCTGTGTGTGTGTGAGAGAGAGAGAGAGAGAGAGAGATTCTTTACTTAGGTTTGGAAACCGGAAAGATAGATGAGGAATTTGCAAGCCATTATGGTGATGATTGTGGTTGATGTTAACTTTGGTGTATGAGTCTATTCATGGACGTTTATTTCCCATTTTAATCGGCATCAAGGTGGAGGAATCAATAAGAACTTCCTAATCGCTTTCAAAATGTTCAAGGAAAAACATAAATTTAAATGATTAAAGAGAGAAAAGAGAGTTGACCGATAATTGACCTAAAAGAGAGGTGACCATAAATCTCACGAGATTTATGGATTGGTTTGAGTTTTAAATTTGAACAGAATGTTATAATTGTCAAACTGATGATTTTATGTGATTACAATAAATCCTAATTAATTAGGAATTACAAATTTGATTTGTTCTGTCAATGCTAATGCTAATCAATGTGATTTTATTTAAATTTGAAAGTAAAAATCATATAAAATTGACAAAATTACATAGATGATCCCTGTGGTTGGCACAAGAGACCAAAGATAGTCCTTATGAGGAATTTTGAACAAGTATGGTCCCTATGGTTCCCAGTTGTTGCACGGACAGTCCTTATGATTGACTCCGTTTGCATTCTATATCAACACAAAAGCACCTCTTTTGGTGGATAGCAAAATTTATAGTCATTTGTATGTAAAATTCACACATGTAGAAGTACACATTTCTCGTAACTCTAAGGAAGTTAGATAAATTAGTTTTGAGTTGATGCAAGAACTTAGAAAAGAATATCTACCATAACTGTGACATCCCCAATTTCACGACCAGAAAATACCGATTTGTTTATGCTTTATTTAAAAATCAGAGTATCATTTTGAAGAATAATTATGGATTTTGTTCCCAAAATATGATAAATATATTATCAAAGCATTTCCGAAGAAATGTGTTTTAATTACATTTAAAACATTAGGATGTCATCGTCAATACAATACATAAGCATAACTAGAAATAAACATAGGCCTTACAAACATCTATTATTCTGCTGGCCTATATTTCATAAATCTCTCATCTGATCATCACACTTATGCTCTTGTGTCACTACCAGTAATACAAGAAACTGAGTGGGTCAGGCTTGGAAGCCTGATGAGCACATAGGATTTTCAACCCATAATAATTAAATTCTTTATTTATATTAAATCATTCAACCCAGTTATCCACTCCCGTTATCCTCACTTTATATCTCTAAAACATCTAATTTAAGGGACCTATCCTAAGGATTATCTTAGGGATTGACAATAATGCTTAGGGGATTCCTCATGAATATATGTTATTAAGGCAACCATGAGGGGGATGGAGTACACCTAGTGAACATGTAGTTCAAAAACACCCACAAGCTGCAAAGCCTGATAGAGTTCCACATGACTGTCTAGAATAGTTTGTGGTCGTCAGCTATACTCTGCTAGATGACGGCATCAACTTTAAAGTTATGGCATCTCATCATTTATTTTATCATTCATCTTTCATCATCTATATCTTTTTTCATCTACCTATTTTTACCCAATATATTTATAGGTATAAAATACATGTACACTTTAAATCAAGTAAAACATATATAAATAGTTCATCTAGCATAGATATCAGGAACACAAGGGGTGGTGTTGGGAGATATATGGATAGAAAGGTGTGAGGAAAAGAGTGATTTTAGAGCTCTATTTATAGTCTGCCAACCACCGACTAAAAGGTGCGTACTGCAATACGCTGGGGGTACTCAGGTGTCGCAATCTGGTGGAAAGCGGTGAGGAAGAATAATATCGATCCTGGCAGGCCATTTACATCTTCAGACATTAAAAAATTTCCATAATTTCAAAATAAAGCTACTTGTAGAATATAAAAATGGAGAATTTCAACATACACCAACTTACAATGCATAAAGATAAGTGATAAAACTTTTGATCGACGCCCACTTGACTGAACCCAAAAACCTAATAGTGAATGCAATTTCAAAGCTCCGGAAACCTTAAGGAGCCACTCCTTAACCAAGCCCCCATCGGTGATGTGTAGATCATCGCTGTTATAGAAGACTTAGCCTCTTAGTATGAATTTTAATAAGAAAGATTAGAACACCGTAGATAACTCGGATTAGAATGAGAAAAATATTAGTCATTATTTATGTATTATGACTATTTGGTACACATATAGCTTCTCTATGCTTGTTTGAGATGGAATTGTAACTCACAAGCTATCTAATACTTTTGGAAATGTCTTTTTAAGAGGTCAAGTTTTCATATGATACGACTTCAATTCATAAGATATTTCTTTTGAAATTTTATACTTTTAGTTTATGAAATATGGAGTGTTACACATACTGAAAGGGCGAAAACTAAAATTTACTATACATTTTAATAAATATACTTGTAATTAGAATTTATTGCAAGCAACAACAATAATATTGTTATAACTACTATGGCATTTAATGAATGTTTGACATTATGATGAGCAGTTATTATGAACTTGGATGGAAAGTAAGTACTTGTTAAGTAGTTTTGCATTCTATATCAACACAAAAGCACCTCTTTTGGTGGATAGCAAAATTTATATTTATTTGTATGTAAAATTCATACATGTAGAAATACACATTTCTCATAACCCTGAGGAAGTTAGATGAATTAGTTTTGAGTTGATGTAAGAACTCAGGAAAGAATATCTACCATAACTGTGACATCCCCAATTTCACGACCAGAAAATACCGATTTTTTATGCTTTATTTAAAAATTAGAGTATCGTTTTAAAGAATAATTACGGATTTTGTTCCAAAAATATGATAAATATATTATCAAAGCATTCCCGAAGAAATATATTTTAATTATATTTAAAACGTTAGGATGACATCGTCAATACAATACATAAGCATAAATGGAAATAACATAGGCCTTCCAAACATCTGTTATTTTGCTGGCCCATATTTCATAAATCTCTCATCGGATCATCACACCTATGCTCTTGTGTCACTACCTGTAACAAAAGAAACTGAGTGGGTCAGC